CTTCCCGTAGGGCGGGGAGGCTGTGCCTGGGGGTTACCGGCTCTGGAGTTGTATCCGTGCTGCTGGGAGGGTGCCGTGTGGGACACGACAGGGTGGAGCTGACCTGGGGGACTGAAGGACGGTTGTTCCTCATGGTGAAGTGGAACAGACGGTGAAGTGCTGTGAGGAACACCAGGCCCTGCTGTCTGGGGTGAGTCCTGCTCAGGAGCGGAGTTTGAGAGGGGCTTTGGGTTGGGAAAACACAAGGGTTTGTGGTCGTTTCTTCAGGAGCTGGGAGGGAGGAAGCCAGCAGGAGCCTGAGAAACACTTGCTTCCTCCCAAGAAGGGAGCAGGGAGGTGACAGCTTGGGCATGGGGTGGCCGAAGGGCAGGGTGGGATGTCCTGAGCAAGGAAATGAGTTGTGGGCTGGGAACTGAGGCTGGGGGCTGCATCCTCTGGCAGCGAACAGCAAAGTGAGGGTTAGAGGCTGGGAACCCACCAGCTGCCCCTGTAACCCCCAAATGTTCCCCTAAACAGTGTCCTGGGTTGAGCTGACGGTAAATGCAGATGCTTGCACTGCCAGCAACCCAGACCAAAGCAGCCTGGAGAGGAGGTTGGGTTGTCCTGAACCTGTGAGCTCCAGGGTGGAGGAGACAGCTGGGACAGGGCATGGCTGGGCTGTCCTGGCTGCACGGTGCCACTGCTGAAGAGGTTGCGGGGATGCGTACCGGGGTGCTAACGCTACAGCTCCTGGTGCTCCTGTCCCAGGGATGTGGCAGTGCTGCGGTGGCTGCGTGCGGGAGGGGACAGGCCAGCGCCCTGGGTGGGTGACAGCAGCTGTGGGGTGATGGTCTGTGGGGTCTGTACTGGCTGCAGCGTGGCGTGTTGCTGTGACCCCCTCCCAGTTGCCCTCCCCCACGGCAAGCGGGTCGTGGTCCCCAGCTGCTGGCAAGCAGCACAGAGCGAGGCAGGCAGAGGCAGCAACACGGAACTGGCTATGGGAGGCAGCTAGGCACGGCTCGTGTTTTAAGAGTCTTATAAATGCCCCTGCCAGAACCCCTGTGGGTGGCGGATGATGTCCAGGGTGCTCTGTGACTTGAGGGGACAGGATCTGGGCTGGTGATGAGGCTCTACAGCCCTGTCCCTGCCCCATGGGTCTCCCGCTGGCTCTAAGCTGGAGATGGACTGGCTGGGTATGGAGATGTTCAAGCTTGCTTACGAAAGGTCTGACAGGGATTTAGGAGCTGCAGTGGGGGTGCCTGTAAAACAGGGGTTCTGCTCTAAGGGGATGTGTCCCAGGGGTTTGCCCAAATGAATGTGGGACCCGTGCGCTGGCGGAGCAGAGTCCAGCTGCAAAAGGAAGGTCTGTGTGGAGGGTGCACCTACACCCTGCCTCACCAGGAGGGAGGGCCATGGCTCCAGGGGTTGTGAGGCTGCAGACCTGGGGAGGGAGGCAGAACTTCAGGCCAAGGAGGGATCCTGGCAAGAGGCTGATGTGGGCATGCAGTCCTGGGATACAGGCAGCAGGGACTCCAGCATCCCCTGCCTGCCCAGCCAAGGCACCGGGGACATCTGGCTCTAGCTCAGGACAGGGCTTGACCAGGGGCTCACAGGAGAGTAACCCTGGTGAAGAGGGACCTTGGACTTGGGCTTGAGCCACCTGTGCTTGGAAAATGAGGCTGCTTCTGTCCTATGGGTCACAAGAGCTTCCTGTAGTTTGTGGGGCCAGGGCTGCTCTCTCCTCTTCTGGAGGGACACGTGTACGGCTGGGGCTCAGCCCAAGGCGATGCCTGTGGCCACAGGGACCTGCTTGCCTGATCCAGCCTGTCTGTAATTGCCAAGGAGTGGAAACTCTAACTCCTAGGTTGAGCGAAGGCTGCCGAGCTTGAGGGATCCCCTGCCCGCACGGCTGTGTCCCGTCCTGAGCAGAAAGGGTGCCAGCTCCAGCCACCCCCAGGAAGCTCAGCCCCGGCCTTGAGAGCTCCGAAGCTTCCTTGCCAAGCCCGTTTCGTTGGGTCGTGATCTCCCCTTGGCAGGGGTACAGGGCATTGATGCTGAGCAGGTGGAGGACCCGAAGCAGGCAGGGGTCAACCC